TTCAGCCCACCCCAAAAAATGCATCACATGTTGCCTTAGAAACTACATTTCAGTCTAATATAAGTCAAACAATTCTACCTGCAACAGTATAGATACTAAACAAAAAATAGTCTTGGTCAAAAACTTTACTTTCTTAACTCAAAATAGTTTTTTCTCTCTATATTCTGAATGCACCTGTTTCCAGACTTGATAACCACCAGGCCTGATCAGGGAGGAAGCAGGTAAATACTGATCACATGACTCCTATCTTATCTCTATTTGGTGGAATTGGTGTTGTTACAACTCTCCCCATGTTACAATCATACCCGGTCTCCGCTGTATATTTATTTTATATGTATATACACACTTTTACTGAGCAGATTTAAGTCATGTGTCACCTGCATGTTGGTAACAACGCCTGTGAATTTCAGCCAATAGGAACAGAGTGTGGGCGGGTCTTATTGTCTCCATCATCAGCAGAAGAAGAGGAGTTTCTGTTGAACCGGTTTCTGACAAGATACCAGAGGAGTCCACATTATGCCAGGTGTCGGGAACAGGTGGGTCTGGGGGGGGGGGGTTAGCTGAAGAGGACAAAGCACAACCACCTGTGCACTCTCTGTTTGGGGGAGTGGCTTAGGAGGGAGGCCTGAAGGGGGGGTTATATTTTCCACCTGGTTGGATGGATAAATCTCAGTCTCTTCCTGGTTACCTGCCGCAGCTGTGACACTGTGTCAGTGTTCATGTGTTCATGTTTCAGCAACATGTTCTTTAAACTCTGTTGCTAACTGGGGGGGGGCAGACAGAAACAACAGAGGGCTGTCAGGTGTTGGTGAGAGAGGTGGAGCTCCATAGAGAATGAACAGAGAGAGAGAGAGGGAGTGGTGGCAGGTAGAACAGGTTTTGGGCGAGGCGGTCGAGCGAGCTTCACAAACACAGTGATAAGGAGAGAGAGAGGGCGAAGTAGTTAAAGATCAGAGATTTCCTTCAGTCGGTCATCAAAACAGTTTCCACCAGCAGAGGAGAAGAAACAGGCCACAGCAGCAGAGGACAAGAAGAAGACGAAGAAACTGGTCAAAACAGCAGAGGACGTTGTGTTTTTCTTCAGGAGGAAGACGAGGAGCCTTCGGTGCCGTGAACAGGTGAGTCAGGTGAAACTGCGTTTTCTGCTCTAAAGTTACCTGATAGCTGGAAATCCTGCTTCATTCAGGAGGAAGTCTTCATAGAGCTCCTTCTTAATTTAACTCAGTTTAACTCCAGGACCTGGTCTGTAACATTCACCTCAGGGAGGCGCTGCAGAGCTAGAGGGAGGTGAGTCAGAAACCACACTCCTCCTCCTCCTCCTCCTCCGAGTCAGAACTCAGATCTGAATCTCTCAGAACAAACTTAGAAACCAGAGAGGCGCTGCAGAGCTTCACTCAGAATATTCATCATTTTAAGGTTCCTTCAGTATCACAGTATCCATGCTAACTGCTAACAGCTGATGCTAACAGGAGCTGCTAACAGCTGATACTAACAGGAGCTGCTAACAGCTGATGCTAACAGCTGTTTATAACAACTGATGCTAACAGGAGCTGCTAACAGCTGATGCTAACAGGAGCTGCTAACAGCTGATGCTAACAGGAGCTGCTAACAGCTGATGCAGCTACTTTAATAGTTTGAACCATAGACTGTAGATAAAACGATGCGAACAAGCAGCTGATCAGCTGTGAGGGTCTGGGCGTGAGAGCCTAAGCCCCGCCCCTTCCCGTGGATCACCATGGGACGTTGAGCAAAGAACGTTCTTGCTAGTTGTTCCTGGGAGAATGAACTTGCGATGTGTTGAGCACGCAGAGCGCCGCTGACCATCTGAGACGGTGCTTCGTTGCTCGTGTTGCACAACACCGGCTTTGTTACCAGGCAGGTTTGACCTCACGAGGGGTGTTGGTGCATGAAGAAGAATTAATAAAAGCTAATAAAAAGTGCTGTAACCACAACTTTACTGTACACTAACAACGTCATGTCAAATATAAAATAATAATAATAAAACACTACTTCTGTTTATTTTTTCACAAGACCAGATTTTTCTGTCCATCACAGACGTCTCTTGATTTAAGTTAAAACGTTCCAGCTACAGACTGTTTATAGGAACTGGACGTCGTCATGGTGACGTCACCCGTTGGTTTGTGCAGTTTTGAAGCCTCGAGTTTGGCCAATAGGGCGCCGCCATGTTGAGTTTTTGCAACCAGCGGCACCGGACATGACCATATTTGGACAAGACAGTGAAGCTAACGGCCGTGCGGAGCTAGCTAGCTTGCTTAGCGAGGTGCATCTGTTATTCACGTTAACTGTCATTTTAAGGGCTGATAACTTTGTCTTAAAACTAAACGTACTCAGAAAAATGAGCAGCCGACTCCTGATGAGCTTTTTCAGCACCGCTGGTTAAACATACACAGAGCAGCGGATACGAGTCGCCTCTAGCCTGATTGACAGGTCGCCATGGTAGCGACTTGCCAATCAGCTTGTAGCCCCGCCCTAAAGCCTCCGCTGCTTCCTGGTCTCTGTTCCTCTAAATGGGACCATAATTTACTAAATGAACATCATGTGTGTTGAAGAAGACTTGAAACTAGCGACTGAGACCAGAAACTCATCAGGAAAGTGTTTACTGAGGGAATAAATCAGCTGACAAGTAGAAACATTTTCTCACAGACTTCTATACAATCACACTTCTTTCTGTAGCCGCTGGAGTCGCCCCCTGCTGGCTGCTGGAGAGGACGCAGGTTTAAGTCGCCCCCTGCTGGCTGTTAGAGAGGACGCAGGTTTAAGTCGCCCCCTGCTGGCTGTTAGAGAGGACGCAGGTTTAAGGCGCCCCCTGCTGGCTGTTAGAGAGGACGCAGGTTTAAGGCGCCCCCTGCTGGCTGTTAGAGAGGACGCAGGTTTAAGTCGCCCCCTGCTGGCCGCTAGAGAGGAGGTGGGTTTAAGTCGCCCCCTGCTGGCTGTTAGAGAGGACGCAGGTTTAAGTCGCCCCCTGCTGGCTGTTAGAGAGGACGCAGGTTTAAGGCGCCCCCTGCTGGCTGTTAGAGAGGACGCGGGTTTAAGTCGCCCCCTGCTGGCTGCTAGAGAGGACGCGGGTTTAAGTCGCCCCCTGCTGGCTGTTAGAGAGGACGCAGGTTTAAGTCGCCCCCTGCTGGCTGCTAGAGAGGACGCAGGTTTAAGTCGCCCCTGCTGGCTGTTAGAGAGGACGCAGGTTTAAGTCGCCCCCTGCTGGCTGTTAGAGAGGACGCAGGTTTAAGTCGCCCCCTGCTGGCTGCTAGAGAGGACGCAGGTTTAAGTCGCCCCCTGCTGGCTCCTAGAGAGGACGCAGGTTTAAGTCGCCCCCTGCTGGCTGCTAGAGAGGACGCAGGTTTAAGTCGCCCCCTGCTGGCTCCTAGAGAGGACGCAGGTTTAAGTCGCCCCCTGCTGGCTATTAGAGAGGACGCAGGTTTAAGTCGCCCCCTGCTGGCTATTAGAGAGGACGCAGCTTTAAGTCGCCCCCTGCTGGCTGTTAGAGAGGACGCAGGTTTAAGTCGCCCCCTGCTGGCTGTTAGAGAGGACGCAGGTTTAAGTCGCCCCCTGCTGGCTATTAGAGAGGACGCAGGTTTAAGTCGCCCCCTGCTGGCTGTTAGAGAGGACGCAGCTTTAAGTCGCCCCCTGCTGGCTGTTAGAGAGGACGCAGGTTTAAGTCGCCCCCTGCTGGCTGTTAGAGAGGACGCAGCTTTAAGTCGCCCCCTGCTGGCTGTTAGAGAGGACGCAGGTTTAAGTCGCCCCCTGCTGGCTGCTGGAGAGGACGCAGGTTTAAGTCGCCCCCTGCTGGCTGTTAGAGAGGACGCAGGTTTAAGTCGCCCCCTGCTGGCTGTTAGAGAGGACGCAGGTTTAAGTCGCCCCCTGCCGGAACACTTGGGGAATTTGAACTGTTCTTGAACCTGAGCCCAGGAAGGCTCTTATTTTGAAAAACAAACGGTTAGTCACAGAGACGACGATTACACATGATGTTCTCCTCCTCTCCTCCTCCTCCTCCTCCTCTCCCCTCCCTCCTCCTCCACTTCTCCCCCTCCCCCACCTCACTCCTCTCCTCCTCCCCCTCCCTTTCCACTTCCCCTCCTCCTCTTCACTCCTCCTCCCCCTCCTCCTCTCCCCTCCCTCCTCCTCCACTCCTCCCACCTCCCCCACCTCACTCCTCTCCTCCTCCCCCTCCTCCTCTCCCCTCCCTTTCCACCTCCCCCACCTCACTCCTCTCCTCCCTCCTCCCCCTCTCCACTCCTCCTCCCCCTCCTCCTCTCCACTCCCTCCTCCTCTCCTCCCTCCTCCTCCTCTCCTCCCCCCTCCCCCACCTCCCCCACCTCCCTCCTCTCCTCCCTCCTCTGACAGTTAATCACTCTCTCTCTCTTTTCCACAGAGCTCTCTCGCCCTGACTGCCTCGAGTCTTTTGATTGGACGGCTGCCTGATTGACTGATTGATGGTCTTTAGCTCCGCCCTCCCGTGACGCACCGCCATGTCATCAAACATCAAAGTCTCCCTTGACAACCCTTACGGTGAGGTGACCATCCCACGGGCTAAGCTCCGCCCCTCCGATGACGTCTCCACGGTGATAGCCAATCCGGTGGCTCTGAGCAGTGACAACCCGTACGGCACGTCAAGCTCCGCCCCACCGCCGCCATATATGGTAAAGGACGCTAGAGAGGGGGAGGAGGAGGAGGAGGGGAGGTGCCGCGTCTGCTGCTACCGCTGCAGGAGAAGGAAGTGATGTCACAGCAGGAGGCGGATTGTGATTGGCTCAGATTTATTTATTTCCTGTTTCACTGAGGAGGCAGAGGCCATTTTACGTGTCAAACCAGCCCAATATTTAAATCTGTGGACAAGGTCAAAGTTCGTCGGAGTGAAGAAGGCCATGGATCCAGCCGAGAGCTCAGGAGCAGTTTAATATATCAATCACCGTTTCATCATCACGGTAACGAGCTGAGAACAACAGGATCAATCATCTTAATGTATTTTAATTAATAATAGTATCAATAAGAATTATTCATATTTAACGTATCAGTACATGATGGACATTAGTGGCGTTGGCGTTTGGATTTAGAAGAATCCGAAAATGAGGAAACTTTATTTTGTCGTCTTGATCTGATTCTTAGATTTTATCCACGTTTTCCTTCCTCGGAGGAAGTGATGTGATGATTTCAGGAAGTGTTGGAACGTTTCCGTGAAGTATTTATATTTTTGAACAGCTAATTTGAACATTTTAGCCTGACGGAGTTTAATCAGAATGATATCTGGATAAAATGGAGGATAGAAACGTTCAACTGTTCATTTGCTGTAAAAGTTTTTCTGTTTCTGCTGAAATAAAGTGACTTGTGATCATCTCTTCCCTGACTATGTCTGATTGTCTTAATGAAAGGATAAATAAAATACTTACTCTAAATACAGAGTGAGACCAGCACCCGACCCGGGTCAGCGTCCAGCAGGTCCGGACTCCAGTTTCCACACAGCAGAGAGAGGAGAGTTCAAGCTCTGAGTGACGGCAGGCTGATTGAATGGATCTGACTCTGACAGAGGAGAAATGTTAACTCTGTTTCTCCCAAACCATAAACACATCATCGATCCAAGAGCAGAAACTCTTTGTCACAACTGCTCAGCCTGCATGTCGAGACCCTGAGGAAGAGAAAGACCAGAGTAGGAGGTTAGATGTGTGCAGCATTTTACAGTGTTAACAGAAGAATTAAATCAAATGGTAATAATGAGGTACAATGCTGACAGGATCAGGCCGGAGGAACCGGAGTCCCCTCACCACATGTTCCCTGCTGCCTCACCTGTTCATCCAGCTACTGTTTCTCTTTGAAGTAAAAACACCAAACATGACCACCTGTATTTCCTTTTGGGAACATGGTGGCGCTGTAGTCAGACCTGTGGCGCCTGGTCCTGATCCTCTGACAGAGTCTAACTCTGCATCCAGAGGAAGGAAAAAGGTTTCAGGTGTTTCACATCAGAATCACTGGTGTTGAAGGGCCACCAGGTGTGCAGGGGTCTCTTCCTCTGTGAAAGATCTTTTGAGGGCAGATATCTCAAACCAAACCAAGTCCATCTATGGCTTCACAAAGACAACAGGAAGTGCTTCCAGAGGACGCTGAAGTGTTTGTGACCTATGAAGTTGTTTCTAAAGCTAATGTGGGCCACATCACACCAGAGTGTTTGACACGCTGGCATCGTACAGCGACACCTAGTGGCCACAGCAGCTCCATTACCAATTCAGTACCTATAGTGAATGCAGGGGCCAGCCCTGGGCCCCCAGAGGGCCCTCATCACCGGACTTCATGATTATTATGAAGAGCTCGTCACACAGGATTAAATCTACAGTAGGACCCTCACTGTTCTCTGGCTGTAGAGGATCTGGTCTCTGGTCTCTGGCTGTAGAGGATCTGGTCTCTGGTCTCTGCTGTGTGTCTGTTGCTAGGTGACCTCAGTCAGTCTGCACTGAGCTGTAACCTGATAGGCTAACCCCAGTGGCCAATAGAAACCTAAGAGCAGCTCCACTTTCTATTGGCTGATCAGTTACAGTTCAGATTATTGATTCTTGTTATTATTGATTTTTTGATTCATGTTAATGGCCATTAATGTTTATAATTTAAACAGGAAATCTTTAATATTTGATGTCTGTATTTAAACATGTTTTTAGTTTTTGTTCATTATTATTGAAATGTGGTTCTTTAACATTCTGTGTGTCTGACTGGGTCTGAAACACTGAAAACACTGAATATTGTAGTTTAGAAAGACACATGTATAACAATAATAATAATAATAATAAGTGTTTAATGATAAACTGAGGTTCAGGTCTGCCTGCTGTCGGCCGAGCGAGGCTGAATTATTGATGAAGCTGACTCTCTCTCTCTCTGAAGCTGAAGGAACGACGAGAACGAACCAACAGAAGAAGAAAAGAACGACGAGACAGAAAAGAAGGAAAGAGAGAAAAACATAAAACAAAGAAGAAGAAAGAAAACAACAAAAGTTTGAATAAAAGAAACGGGAGGAAATGAAAGAGTGAAAGACAAGAAGAAAGAAAAGGAGGAAAGAGGAGGACGACAGATAACAGAGGAGAAGAAACAAAGGGACTAAACAAAGAGAGGATCAGAGGAGAGAGAGACCTGGAATAAAAGACAGAAGAAAAACTGGAGCATACAACAAAGAACGAAGAAGAGAGGAGGAAATGAAAAACAGACAACAGGACAGAGGAAAAGACACACGTAAACAACAATAAACAAGAAGAAGGAGAGAAGGAATAAAGAGGAGGAAGAGAAGATGTGATGTAAAGAAGGAGGACGAAGAATATCCAGGTGAGTTTTGTCCAATCACAACGCAGCAGGTAAACATGATGTACTTTTGATCCCAAATATGACGTCATACTGCTTTCAAATGTTAAAATACTGCTAACTGTAAAAAACACTGTAGGAAACACTGTAGACGACACTGCTCACTGTAGGAAACACTGTAGGAGACACTGTAGGAAACACTGCTCACTGTAGGAAACACTGCTCACTGTAGGAGACACGGTAGAAAACACTGCTCACTGTAGGAAACACTGTAGGAGACACTGTAGGAAACACTGTAGGAAACACTGTAGAAAACACTGCTCACTGTAGGAAACACTGCTCACTGTAGGAAACACTGTAGGAGACACTGTAGGCGACACTGCTCACTGTAGGAAACACTGTAGGAGACACTGTAGGAGACACTGTAGGAGACACTGTAGGAAACACTGTAGAAAACACTGCTCACTGTAGGAAACACTGCTCACTGTAGGAGACACGGTAGAAAACACTGCTCACTGTAGGAAACACTGTAGGAGACACTGTAGGCGACACTGCTCACTGTAGGAAACACTGTAGGAGACACTGTAGGAGACACTGTAGGAGACACTGTAGGAAACACTGCTCACTGTAGGAAACACTGTAGGAAACACTGCTCACTGTAGGAGACACGGTAGAAAACACTGCTCACTGTAGGAGACACGGTAGAAAACACTGCTCACTGTAGGAAACACTGTAGGAGACACTGTAGGCAACACTGCTCACTGTAGGAAACACTGTAGGAGACACTGTAGGAGACACTGTAGGAAACACTGCTCACTGTAGCAGACATTGTAGGAGACACTGTAGGAGACACTGTAGGAAACACTGCTCACTGTAGGAAACACTGCAGGAAACACTGCTCACTGTAGGAAACACTGTAGGAAACACTGCTCACTGTAGAAAACACTGTAGGAAACACTATAGGAAACACTGCTCACTGTAGGAAACACTGTAGGAAACACTGTAGGAAACACTGCTCACTGTAGGAAAACCTGTAGGAAACACTGCTCACTGTAGGAAACACTATAGGAGACACTGTAGGAAACACTGTAGGAAACACTGCTCACTGTAGGAAACACTGTAGAAAACACTGCTCACTGTAGGAAACACTATAGGAGACACTGTAGGAGACACTGTAGGAAACACTGTAGGAAACACTGTAGGAAACACTGTAGAAAACACTGCTCACTGTAGGAAACACTATAGGAGACACTGTAGGAGACACTGTAGGAAACACTGTAGGAAACACTGTAGGAAACACTGCTCACTGTAGGAAACATTGTAGAAAACACTGCTCACTGTAGGAAACACTGTAGGAGACACTGTAGGAAACACTGCAGGAAACACTGTAGGAAACACTGCTCACTGTAGTAAACACGGTAGGAAATACTGTAGACAACACTGCTCACTGTAGGAAACACTGTAGACGACACTGCTCACTGTAGGAAACACTGTAGGAGACACTGTAGGAGACACTGTAGGAAACACTGTAGGAAACACTGCTCACTGTAGGAAACACTATAGGAAACACTGCTCACTGTAGGAGACACGGTAGAAAATACTGCTCACTGTAGGAGACACTGTAGAAAACACTGCTCACTGTAGGAGACACTGTAGGAGACACTGTAGGAAACACTGTAGGAAACACTGCTCACTGTAGGAAACACTATAGGAAACACTGCTCACTGTAGGAGACACGGTAGAAAACACTGCTCACTGTAGGAGACACTGTAGAAAACACTGCTCACTGTAGGAGACACTGTAGAAAACACTGTAGGAGACACAGTAGGAAACACTGCTCACTGTAGGAAACACTGTAGGAAAAACTGCTCACTGTAGGAGACATTGTAGGAAACACTGCTCACTGTAGGAAACACTGCTCACTGTAGGAGACATTGTAGGAAACACTGCTCACTGTAGGAAACACTGCTCACTGTAGAAAACACTGTAGGAAACACTGTAGACGACACTGCTCACTGTAGGAAACACTGTAGGAAACACTGTAGAAAACACTGCTCACTGTAGGAGACACGGTAGAAAACACTGCTCACTGTAGGAGACACTGTAGAAAACACTGCTCACTGTAGGAGACACTGTAGAAAACACTGTAGGAGACACAGTAGGAAACACTGCTCACTGTAGGAAACACTGTAGGAAACACTGCTCACTGTAGGAGACATTGTAGGAAACACTGCTCACTGTAGGAAACACTGTAGGAAACACTGCTCACTGTAGGAGACATTGTAGGAAACACTGCTCACTGTAGGAAACACTGCTAACTGTAAAAAACACTGTAGGAAACACTGTAGACGACACTGCTCACTGTAGGAAACACTGTAGGAAACACTGTAGAAAACACTGCTCACTGTAGGAAACACTGCTCACTGTAGGAGACACGGTAGAAAACACTGCTCACTGTAGGAAACACTGTAGGAGACACTGTAGGCGACACTGCTCACTGTAGGAAACACTGTAGGAGACACTGTAGGAGACACTGTAGGAAACACTGTAGAAAACACTGCTCACTGTAGGAAACACTGCTCACTGTAGGAGACATGGTAGAAAACACTGCTCACTGTAGGAAACACTGTAGGAGACACTGTAGGCGACACTGCTCACTGTAGGAAACACTGTAGGAGACACTGTAGGAGACACTGTAGGAAACACTGCTCACTGTAGGAAACACTGTAGGAAACACTGCTCACTGTAGGAGACATTGTAGGAAACACTGCTCACTGTAGGAGACACGGTAGAAAACACTGCTCACTGTAGGAGACACGGTAGAAAACACTGCTCACTGTAGGAAACACTGTAGGAGACACTGTAGGCAACACTGCTCACTGTAGGAAACACTGTAGGAGACACTGTAGGAGACACTGTAGGAGACACTGTAGGAAACACTGCTCACTGTAGCAGACATTGTAGGAGACACTGTAGGAGACACTGTAGGAAACACTGCTCACTGTAGGAAACACTGTAGGAAACACTGCTCACTGTAGGAGACATTGTAGGAAACACTGCTCACTGTAGAAAACACTGTAGGAAACACTATAGGAAACACTGCTCACTTTAGGAAACACTGTAGGAGACACTGTAGGAAACACTGTAGGAAACACTGCTCACTGTAGGAAAACCTGTAGGAAACACTGCTCACTGTAGGAAACACTATAGGAGACACTGTAGGAAACACTATAGGAGACACTGTAGGAAACACTATAGGAGACACTGTAGGAAACACTGTAGGAAACACTGCTCACTGTAGGAAACACTGTAGAAAACACTGCTCACTGTAGGAAACACTATAGGAGACACTGTAGGAGACACTGTAGGAAACACTGTAGGAAACACTGTAGGAAACACTGCTCACTGTAGGAAACACTGTAGAAAACACTGCTCACTGTAGGAAACACTGTAGGAGACACTGTAGGAAACACTGCAGGAAACACTGTAGGAAACACTGCTCACTGTAGTAAACACTGTAGAAAACACTGCTCACTGTAGGAAACACTGTAGGAGACACTGTAGGAAACACTGCAGGAAACACTGTAGGAAACACTGCTCACTGTAGTAAACACTGTAGGAAATACTGTAGACAACACTGCTCACTGTAGGAAACACTGTAGACGACACTGCTCACTGTAGGAAACACTGTAGGAAACACTGCTCACTGTAGGAAACACTATAGGAAACACTGCTCACTGTAGGAGACACGGTAGAAAACACTGCTCACTGTAGGAGACACTGTAGAAAACACTGCTCACTGTAGGAGACACTGTAGAAAACACTGTAGGAGACACAGTAGGAAACACTGCTCACTGTAGGAAACACTGTAGGAAACACTGCTCACTGTAGGAGACATTGTAGGAAACACTGCTCGCTGTAGGAAACACTGTAGGAAACACTGCTCACTGTAGGAGACATTGTAGGAAACACTGCTCACTGTAGGAAACACTGCTCACTGTAGAAAACACTGTAGGAAACACTGTAGGAAACACTGTAGGAAACACTTTAGGAAACACTGCTCACTGTAGAAGACATTGTAGGAAACACTGCTCACTGTAGGAAACACTGTAGGAAACACTGTAGGAGACACTGTAGGAGACACTGTAGGAAACACTGCTCACTGTAGAAAACACTGTAGGAAACACTGCTCACTGTAGGAGACATTGTAGGAAACACTGCTCACTGTAGGAGACACGGTAGAAAACACTGCTCACTGTAGGAAACACTGTAGGAGACACTGTAGGAGACACTGCAGGAAACACTGCTCACTGTAGGAAACACTGTAGGAAACACTGCTCACTGTAGGAAAACCTGTAGGAAACACTGCTCACTGTAGGAAAACCTGTAGGAAACACTGCTCACTGTAGAAGACATTGTAGGAAACACTGCTCACTGTAGGAAACACTGTTCACTGTAGTAAACACTGTAGGAAACACTGTAGGAAACACTGCTCACTGTAGGAAACACTGTAGGAAACACTGTAGACGACACTGCTCACTGTAGGAGACACTGTAGGAGACACTGTAGAAAACACTGCTCACTGTAGTAAACACTGTTGGAAACACTGTAGGAAACACTGTAGGAAACACTGCTCACTGTAGGAAACACTGTAGACGACACTGCTTACTGTAGGAGACACTGTAGGAGACACTGTAGAAAACACTGTAGGAAACACTGCTCACTGTAGGAAACACTGTAGACGACACTGCTTACTGTAGGAGACACTGTAGGAGACACTGTAGAAAACACTGCTCACTGTAGGAAACACTGCTCACTGTAGGAGACACTGTAGAAAACACTGCTCACTGTAGGAAATACTGTAGGAGACACTGTAGGAAAAACTGTAGACGACACTGCTCACTGTAGGAAACACTGTAGAAAACACTGCTCACTGTAGGAAACACTGTAGGAAAAACTGTAGACAACACTGCTCACTGTAGGAAACACTGTAGAAAACACTGCTCACTGTAGGAAACACTGTAGGAAACACTGTAGGAAACACTGCTCACTGTAGGAAACACTGCTCACTGTAGGAAACACTGTAGGAAAAACTGTAGACGACACTGCTCACTGTAGGAAACACTGTAGAAAACACTGCTCACTGTAGGAAACACTGTAGGAGACACTGTAGGAAACACTGTAGGAAACACTGCTAACTGTAGGAAACACTGCTCACTGTAGGAAACACTGCTCACTGTAGGAGACACGGTAGAAAACACTGCTCACTGTAGGAAACACTGTAGGAGACACTGTAGGAGACACTGCAGGAAACACTGCTCACTGTAGGAAACACTGTAGGAAACACTGCTCACTGTAGGAGACATTGTAGGAAACACTGCTCACTGTAGAAAACACTGTAGGAAACACTGTAGGAAACACTGCTCACTGTAGGAAAACCTGTAGGAAACACTGCTCACTGTAGAAGACATTGTAGGAAACACTGCTCACTGTAGGAGACACTGTAGGAGACACTGTAGGAGACACTGTAGAAAACACTGCTCACTGTAGGAAACACTGCTCACTGTAGGAAACACTGTAGTAAACACTGCTCACTGTAGGAAACACTGTAGAAAACACTGCTCACTGTAGGAAACACTGTAGGAGACACTGTAGGAAACATTGCTCACTGTAGTAAACACTGTAGGAAACACTGTAGACGACACTGCTCACTGTAGGAGACACTGTAGGAGACACTGTAGGAGACACTGTAGAAAACACTGCTCACTGTAGGAAACACTGCTCACTGTAGGAGACACTGTAGGAGACACTGTAGAAAACACTGCTCACTGTAGCAGACATTGTAGGAAACACTGCTCACTGTAGGAGACACTGTAGGAAACACTGTAGGAGACACTGAAGGAGACTCTGTAGGAAACACTGCTCACTGTAGGAAACACTGCTCACTGTAGGAGACACTGTAGGAGACACTGTAGAAAACACTGCTCACTGTAGGAAACACTGCTCACTGTAGCAGACATTGTAGGAAACACTGCTCACTGTAGGAGACACTGTAGGAAACACTGTAGAAGACACTGAAGGAGACTCTGTAGGAAACACTATAGGAAACACTGCTCACTGTAGGAAACAGTGTAGGAAACAGTGTAGGAAACAGTGTAGGAGACACTGCTCAGCTTCAGTAGATTATGTGCATTTTGTCTATACAGGAAATTCAACTATGTAAATTAGCCAGAGGCGTGCGGCTCATATAGGGCCGCCCCAGAATGCACTGCGTGATGTGGCCACTTGACATAATCACAGGCAGACAGGGAAGGTCATGTCGTCGTCATAGTAGCCAAGTGAGCGGGACACCTGACTTCCAGTCCGAGGCTGCTCGCAGTACTAATCGTGTTTATATGTGGCTCGTTACGTGAGATTTTATTAGAACATATTAATATTAATAAAAATGTTTCTTCTCTTGTTGACCAGAACACGATGTCCGACGACAGAAAAGAAGAAGCCGCTGAGGAGGAGGAGGTCACCTGTCAGCCCCTCCCCCCTCCTCATTCCTCTGTTGCGGTGGACACGCTGATGTCACTGAGGAGGCAGGACCTCGTCTGCATCGTGTGCTTTGGCAGTTACGACCTGGCGACCCGGTTGCCGCGGCGACTGCACTGCGGGCACGCCTTCTGCCAGGCGTGTCTGAAGAGACTGGACACGGTCATCAATGAACAGGTGACTGATGATATCATCAACACACACCTTGTTGTTCTCCTGGTACATCACCAGACTAACATGGCGTTAGATTCAGTGATTGAAATATTTGCTACGAGGCATCAGATGGTTTGATTCAGTAACATCGTTAATGCTGAGCTATGTTCGAAACACAAAACCAAAACAATGACCTTTAAGCTCTACATTTAACAAGCAGCACGCTGCGCCGGCCGTCACCGACCAGAAGCTCAACATTTATTCACTGTTCCCGTCAGAACCCGCTGAGTCTCCGTTGTCCCGGGAGTCAGAGTCCTGGCAGGAGCCGCTGCCCTCATACTGTACTTCCTGTCTTCAAACTGGCCTCCTCCAGCCTCAGAGGCTGTGTTCGGTCCTGGTTCTGCTGCCCACTCGCCAAGCTCATTCCGAGGGCGCTTTCCAACAGTATTCCCCACTGGGCCTGAAACCCTGTGCTAGCACAACAAGCCCCTGAGACCCCTGTTCCGGCCTGCTGGCGAGGCGCAGCGGGATAAATTTACTAAGAGTAAAATACAGCATGTATCTGTAAAGAGTCCAAGTACAGGATGTCATCAGTAGGGATGTTTCTGGTCAAGACGCCCTGGCGTCACGCACTGTAGAGCCCCTGGGAGAAGCCCTGTAGCGTCACTTTTGAACGTTAAAGGTAGGTGTAGGAGATTAAACGTGAGTCAACACAAGTGGGCCAGAAACCAGACTTTCAGCTAGGAGACCGGTGTTCATTTCCTGTGTGAAACAAAAAGTCAACACTGAATGTTTTTATTTTGTGATGTAAGTTATGCTACTTAACTTAAGCAATTTATCTGACGTAGGTAACGTGGTTATTTTTAACCCAAACCATGATATTTTCCTAGACCTCACCAAACCATTGACATTTGGCAACGTTAACAAGTACTTTATTTTGAAAGTTTAACCGGACATTGCATATTTATTGTTGCTAACTCGACCGCGGAGCCCTACAGGTGGAAAAGAGGCTAAAGGGCTCCACGGCGTTAACCATCAACGCCAGGGGTCTGACCAAGCGTCCATATGTGAGGAGGTGAGAATGTGTCGGCACTAAATGAAGAGCTGTTCAGAAAGAAACGGAGCAGAAAGATCCGTGATCCCCGTCACTAGCAGCTCCTGCACTGCAAAAACTGAGCTCTATTATTTAAAATGAGCAAAATTATCTGCCAACAGAACAAGAACATTTCACTCGCTACTTAAGGACAAAAACTTGAAAGTCGCCTGGTAAGAAGAAATGTCTTGTCAGACAAAAAACAAGTATGTTTTGCCTTCAATTAAGATAATTAATCTTACTTAGATTTTAGTCTTTGCAGTGTAGAATGTTTCAGTGTTCTCAGACTGACCAATGAAACGGACTCGTGGACGGTTAGTCGGCGATCAGGCGGCGGCTCTAAAAGCAGCTGAAGAGTCAGACAGGTGAAGTGATGATGGCATTTACAGTTAAACACTCACCTGTTTGCCCCCCCCCCAGGTGTGGATCCCGTGTCCTCAGTGTCGACAGAACACGCCTCGGCCCAGAGGAGGAGCAGCAGGTCTGGACCTGGACTTGGCCTCGTTCCTGGGAGTGAAGGCCCAGCAGACCTGCGCCTCCTCAGGCTCCCTGTCCTCCTGGAGCTCCGGCCGCAGGGAGGGGGCTTCACCCAGTGACCCGGCTCAGGACGGGAAGCTGTGGTTGGGGAAAGAAGTCCCCGATGACGGCTGGTTGCACGGAGGTCTGGCTGAGCCACGTTTCCATCGCTACGGCAACTGTTGCCCGCCGCCGTCCTACTGGTTGTGCTGCTGGTTCTGCTGCCCGGGGCGGGGCTAGGACGGACCAATGAGTGTGCTGTCTTTAGTTCTCCTTTCTGTTGGTGAAGGTTTTTTGCTCTGATAGATGTAAACTGCTAATAAACGTGTTCCTGAAATCCTGACTGATCATTTCATCACATTTACAAGCAAGTACGTGAATTAATTCCACATTCTGTCAAAGATATTCAGACTGAATACAAACAAATAACTAGACTGAACAGGGTCCAGACCACCTCGCAAACCACCTGTAGGCCACCACGGTAGGGCACCACATAGGGCACCATGCAGGTCACCAAGCAGACCACCACGTAGGGAACCACGTAGGGCACCATGCAGACCACCATGCAGGCCACGACGTAGGGCACCATGTAGGGCACCATGCAGGCCACGACATAGGGCACCATGCAGACCGCCAGGTAAGGCACCATGCAGACCACCATGCAGGCCACCACGTAGGGCACCAAACATACCACCATGCAGACCACCATGCAGGCCACGACGTAGGGCACCAAACATACCACCATGCAGACCACCAAGCAGACCACCACGTAGGGAACCACGACGTAGGGCACCAAACATACCACCATGCAGACCACCATGCAGGCCACCACGTAGGGCACCAAACATACCACCATGCAGACCACCATGCAGGCCACGACGTAGGGCACCATGCAGGCCACCAAGCAGACCACCACGTAGGGAACCACGACGTAGGGCACCATGCAGACCACCATGCAGGCCACGACGTAGGGCACCACATAGGGCACCATGCAGGCCACCACGTAGGGCACCATGCAGACCACCATGCAGACCACCATGGAGGGCACCATGCAGACCACCATGGAGGGCACCATGCAGACCACCAGGTAGGGCACCACGCAGACCTTTGATCGATTTGTCTTCAGCTGCTGGCAGTTATTGTTTAATATTGTACATCGTGTTATATATTTGAATATTTTAGATATCAGTGATGGAAGTACTCTGATCATCATCAATACTACACAGTGAAACACTAAGAAGTAGGGCTGGGCAATAAAACAACAATGATGATTATCGCAATATAATTTTCCTCAATATCAATAGAATAAATGTTCAATATATCATCAATGAATAATTGCTTTAATTCATTTGAATCACGAACAAATTAGCACTTAATATTTCTATCAAAATATGTATTTTGTTGAAAAAAAGAGGCCTGAAAAAAGATTAACTAATCATATTGTAGTAAAAAAATAGACCTCAGATTTGTGAAGTGATCCACTGTTTGGCATCAAGTGTTGTCACGTTCTGACCATAAAGAAAAGTTTAACCACATAATTAACCATCTGGTTTCACCAGATACAAGTACTCATCAGGCACTCGCTGCCTGTGAGTAACTGCACTAACATGTAAATACAGAAGTGGAACAAAGACGACGCTGCTGAGAATGAAACGTTTATTCATCATCACATTTTTTACAAAAGCTGATAAGAGTTCAGGTGAGACGTGTCACCTGTTCTTTAGCATGGTCGCAGTTTCACAACAACACAAAATTATTATTATTAACGTCACGGTTTTCTTGTGACCAATCACAGACATCCTGTGGCTGCTTCACATTTGTGTGCTAGCTGATGCTAACAACTGTGACAGCAGTGATTGGTTCAGAACAGAAATAATCAAAACAACAAAGCTTCAAACAGTTTCAGAGGACGGAGGAACTTTTTATTTCACTTTGTGTAAATTTGAATGTTTGAATTAATGTTAGTTTGTTAAATAATATGAAGGTTTGACTTCATTATTTTTGGGTTCATATTACTTAAATTTGATCTGATGTTTTCTTTTCGCTGATTTAAAGGAATATTTCAATTTAGTTTCAGGACGAGCGACTTTGAGACAGAATAGAAAAAAAAATAGAGAGAAAAGATTGGCACAAGGCATTCTGGGAGTTTGAGTCCTTGTCATAAAAACATCTTCAGGTTCATAACAGCGTCTTCTTTACAGAGAAAATTACCCACAATGCCCTAAAGTCTTAATATCTGTCTGACATTCATCAGTCCCCAGCAGTTCCTAGTCACCAGGCCCCTCCCCCTGAGTCTGCAGCTTGGCCAATCAGAGGCTACCGAGCCCTTCTCCCATTCTGATTCGCTGTCCTGGCTGCAGGTTGAAGGTGAAGTCTTTAGGAGCTTCGAACAGCAGAACAATGGTGGAGCCGAGGTTAAACTCCCCCACGGGGGCCCCCTTCTGTAAGACCACGCCCCCTCCATCGGCTGAGACCACGCCCCCTTCACTCGACGCCTTCAAGGCCTGGTCGCCGATGGCAACATAGCTGTGGTCATCGAAGGAGCCTTTATTGTAGCGAGGAGCGTTGGTCTGAAGCTCCTGAGGACGAAACACAAAAACTGCTGAAACTAAATATATTAAACACAAAGGTATATTTATATTTAAATACCAAATATTTATGTCATTAATTCCTCTGATTGGCCGACTGAAGGAAAAGAACAGATATACTGCAATACTTTAAAATACACAACAACAAGGTTTTATTAAAGTAGAAGCGGTTCAAACTCACCTGGTCGAAGTAAACCCTGATGGAGCCCACGTTTGTGGCTCCGACTGCTGTTAATGAGAAGAAGCCGTGCTGCCAGTGGCCGGTGAGCGCCACACGCTCGTTAAGGCAGAAGAGCTCTTTGACCAAACGAGCCACGCCCGGGTTAACCGACATTAACGAGCCTAACGAGGAGAGAGAGATGAAGGGCAGGTAGAGCGCAGACACCAGAAAGGTGAATAGGTGAACAGACTCTCACCTGGGAAGTGACGCCGAAGCTCCACCCTCCAGTCTGTAGGTGAATGGAAACAGTGATAGTCTCCTGGAGCCAGGTAGACCACGACGTGGAACAGGTCGTTGTCAGGAGACGACAGGAGGAGGTCCCTGAAGGACGACGAGGACTCTAAAGAAAGAGGGACACAATCAATCTTCAACAAGTCCCAGGTCAAGACCAACAAGTCCCAGACCAACAAGTCCCAGGTCAAGACCAACAAGTCCCAAGTCAAGACCAACGAGTCCCAGGTCAAGACCAAATCCCAGGTGCAGACCAACAAGTCCCAAATCAAAACCAACAAGTCCCAGGTCAAGACCAACAAGTACCAGGTGCAGACCAACAAGTCCCAGGTCAAGACCAACGAGTCCCAGGTCAAGACCAAATCGCAGGTGCAGACCAACAAGTCCCAAATCAAAACCAACAAGTCCCAGGTCAAGACCAACAAGTCCCAGACCAACAAGTCCCAAATCAAAACCAACAAGTCCCAGACCCAAACCAACAAGTCCCAGGCCAAGACCAACAAGTCCCAGGCCAAGACCAACAAGTCCCAGGTCAAGACCAACAAGTCCCACAAGTCCCAGGTGCAGACCAACAAGTCCCAGATCCAAACCAACAAGTCCCAGACCAACAAGTCCCAGATCCAAACCAACAAGTCCCAGACCAACAAGTCCCAGATCCAAACCAACAAGTCCCAGGTGCAGACCAACAAGTCCCAGACCAACACGTCCCAGGTCCAGACCAACACATCCCAGACCAACAAGTCCCAGGTCCAGACCAACAAATCCCAGGTCCAGACCAACAAGTCCCACACCAACAAGTCCCAGGTCCAGACCAACAAGTCCCAGGTCCAGTGGAAATTGCGCAATGGATAAGACTATGCCATTGTGTCCCTGAGCAAGACACTTAACCCCTAGTTGCTCCAGAGGCGTGTGACCTCTGACATGTAGAGCAAATGTAAGTCGCTTTGGATAAAAGCGTCAGCTAAATGAATAAATGTAAATATAAGTCCCAGGTCAAGACCAACAAATCCCAGGTCCAGGTCAAGACTGTTGTGTCTGACTGTTTGAGTCACAGATTTTTAATGGATCCGTGATGTCACATGCGTCATGGTGGAGTGGGCGTGGTCTTACCGTTGCCTCGCCTCTTCTGTGGACCCAGGAAGTTCTCCAGACTGTAGGTGACCCCCTTCACCTGCTCCACCTCTGAGTTCTCTACCCGACCGAAGTGGAGGATCCTCCCATCAGCTGGCGAGATCTGAGAGAAGCAAGCATCACAGTTCAGGAGGAGGAGGAGGAGGGTTACCAGACACGAGGAGGAGGAGGAGGAGGAGGGTTACCAGACACGAGGAGGAGGAGGAGGAGGAGGGTTACCAGACACGAGGAGGAGGAGGGTTACCAGACACGAGGAGGAGGAGGAGGGTTACCAGACACGAGGAGGAGGAGGGTTACCAGACACGAGGAGGAAGAGGAGGAGGAGGAGGAGGAGGGTTACCAGACACGAGAAGGAGGAGGAGGGTTACCAGACACGAGGAGGAGGAGGAGGAGGAGGGTTACCAGACACGAGGAGGAGGAGGAGGAGGGTTACCAGACACGAGGAGGAGGAGGAGGAGGAGGGTTACCAGACACGAGGAGGAAGAGGGTTACCAGACACGAGGAGGAGGAGGAGGAGGGTTACCAGACACGAGGAGGAGGAGGAGGAGGGTTACCAGACACGAGGAGGAGGAGGGTTACCAGACACGAGGAGGAAGAGGAGGAGGAGGAGGAGGAGGAGGGTTACCAGACACGAGAAGGAGGAGGAGGAGGGTTACCAGACACGAGGAGGAGGAGGAGGGTTACCAGACACGAGGAGGAAGAGGAGGAGGAGGAGGGTTACCAGACACGAGAAGGAGGAGGAGGAGGGTTACCAGACACGAGGAGGAGGAGGAGGAGGAGGGTTACCAGACACGAGAAGGAGGAGGAGGAGGGTTACCAGACACGAGAAAAAGGAGGAGGAGGAGGGTTACCAGACACGAGGAGGAGGAGGGTTACCAGACACGAGGAGGAAGAGGAGGAGGAGGAGGAGGAGGGTTACCAGACACGAGAAGGAGGAGGAGGAGGAGGAGGAGGGTTACCAGACACGAGGAGGAGGAGGAGGAGGAGGAGGGTTACCAGACACGAGGAGGAGGAGGAGGAGGAGGGTTACCAGACACGAGGAGGAAGAGGAGGAGGAGGAGGGTTACCAGACACGAGAAGGAGGAGGAGGAGGGTTACCAGACATGAGGAGGAGGAGGAGGAGGGTTACCAGACATGAGGAGGAGGAGGAGGAGGAAGGTTACCAGACACGAGGAGGAGGAGGAGGAGGAGGGTTACCAGACACGAGGAGGAGGAAGAGGGTTACCAGACACGAGGAGGAGGAGGAGGAGGAGGAGGAGGAGGGTTACCAGACACGAGGAGGAGGAGGAGGAGGAGGGTTACCAGACACGAGGAGGAGGAGGAGGAGGAGGAGGAGGAGGGTTACCAGACACGAGGAGGAGGAGGAGGAGGAGGGTTACCAGACACGAGGAGGAGGAGGAGGAGGAGGAGGAGGGGGGGGGGGGTTACCAGACACGAGACACGAGAACGAGGAGAAGGAGGAGGAGGAGGGTTACCAGACACGAGGAGGAGGAGGAGGGTTACCAGACACGAGGAGGAGGAGGAGGAGGAGGAGGAGGGTTACCAGACACGAGGAGGAGGAGGAGGAGGAGGGTTACCAGACACGTGGAGGAGGAGGAGGAGGGGGGGGTTATCAGACACGAGACACGAGAAGGAGGAGGAGGAGGGTTACCAGACACGAGACACGAGAAGGAGGAGGAGGAGGGTTACCAGACACGAGGAGGAGGAGGAGGAGGGTTACCAGACACGAGGAGGAGGAGGGTTACCAGACACGAGGAGGAGGAGGAGGAGGGTTACCAGACACGAGGAGGAGGAGGAGGAGGGTTACCAGACACGAGGAGGAGGAGGAGGAGGAGGAGGGTTACCAGACACGAGGAGGAGGAGGAGGAGGAGGGGGGTTACCAGACACGAGAAGGAGGGGGGTTACCAGACACGAGAAGGAGGAGGGTTACCAGACACGAGGAGGAGGAGGAGGAGGGGGGGGGGGGGGGTTATCAGACACGAGACACGAGAAGGAGGAGGAGGAGGAGGGTTACCAGACATGAGGAGGAGGAAGGTTACCAGACATGAGGAGGAGGAGGAGGAGGAGGAGGAGGGTTACCAGACACGAGGAGGAGGAGGAGGAGGGTTACCAGACACGAGGAGGAGGAGGAGGAGGAGGGTTACCAGACACGAGGAGGAGGAGGAGGGTTACCAGACATGAGAAGGAGGAGGAGGGTTACCAGACACGAGGAGGAGGAGGAAGGTTACCAGACATGAGAAGGAGGAGGAGGGTTACCAGACACGAGGAGGAGGAGGAGGAGGAGGGTTACCAGACACGAGGAGGAGGAGGAGGGTTACCAGACATGAGAAGGAGGAGGAGGGTTACCAGACACGAGGAGGAGGAGGAGGGTTACCAGACACGAGGAGGAGGAGGAAGGTTACCAGACACGAGGAGGAGGAGGAGGAGGAGGAGGAGGAGGAGGGTTACCAGACATGAGGAGGAGGAGGGTTACCAGACATCAGGAGGAGGAAGGTTACCAGACACGAGGAGGAGGAGGAGGGTTACCAGACATGAGGAGGAGGAGGAGGAGGGGGGGGGGGGGGGGGGGGTTATCAGACACGAGACACGAGAAGGAGGAGGAGGGTTACCAGACACGAGGAGGAGGAGGAGGAGGGTTACCAGACACGAGGAGGAGGAGGAGGGTTACCAGACACGAGGAGGAGGAGGAGGAGGGTTACCAGACACGAGGAGGCGCAGACTGGTCGGACTGCAGGTTTGAGGCGTCGACGGAAGAACTCCCCCAGATTCCTGTAGTGATGCAGATCCTCCACGGCGGCTTCCTATTGGCCGAAAGGAACACAAAGGTCAGAGCACAAACAGAGTGATAAAGGAGGTGCTTGGTGGAGGAGGTGCAGACGGTCCGGGAGGAGTCTGGTCACATGCTTATTTATACAGTATACTGCCAAAAGTTTTGGGTCGACATGCAGGTCAGTCCCTGATGTTTAACATGAGTCGGCCTCTGCAGCTGGAGCAGCTTCACTCTGCTGGGAACGCCGTCCACCAGGTTCAGGAGCAGCTTCGCTCTGCTGGGAACGCCGTCCACCAGGTTCAGGAGCAGCGTCGCTCTGCTGGGAACGCCGTCCACCAGGTTCAGGAGCAGCTTTGATTGGTCACTCCAGAGAACACGCCTCCTCTGCTCTAGTCTCCAGTGGCGGCGTGCTTTACACCGCTGCGTCCGACGCTTTGCATTGCACTTGGTGATGTCAGGCTTGGACGCAGCTGCTCGGCCGTGGAAACCCGTTCCACGAAGCTCTCTACGCACTGTTCCTGAGCTAATCCGAAGGCCACACAGCATTTGGAGGTCTGTAGCTGCCGACTCTGCAGAAAGTTGGAGACTTCTGTGCACCTCGGCGTGTTCTGACCCTGCTTTTTTTGATTTTATGTGGCTGAGTTTCTGTTGTTCCCAGTCGCTTCCTCTTTGTTATAACACCACTAACAGCCGAAAGTGGAATATTTAGTAGTGAGGAAAATTCAGGAAAGGACTTGCTGCACAGGTGGCAACCTGTCAGGGTACCACGCCTGAATCCACCGAGCTCCTGAGAGCGACGCGTTCTTTCACAGATGGTTGCAGTCTGCAGCCGAGGTGCTCGACTTCATCTGTGGCCAAAGACATGACTGGAACACCTGTAGTCAATGATTTGGAGGGGTGTCCCAAAACCTTTGGCAATATAGTGTATATTCTGCCTTTTGCAGAAAGACTAGTCTCACTGGTCTCACAGGTCTCACTGGTCTCACAGGTCTCACTGGTCTTACAGGCCTCACTGGTCTCACAGGTCTTACTAGTCTCACAGGCCTCACTGGTCTCACTGGTCTCACAGGTCTCACTGGTCTCACAGGTCTCACTGGTCTTACAGGCCTCACTGGTCTCACAGGCCTCACTGGTCTCACTGGTCTCACAGGCCTCACTGGTCTCACAGGTCTTACTAGTCTCACAGGCCTCACTGGTCTTACTGGTCTCACAGGTCTCACTGGTCTCACAGGTCTCACTGGTCTTACAGGCCTCACTGGTCTCACAGGCCTCACTGGTCTCACAGGCCTCACTGGTCTCACTGGTCTCACAGGTCTCACTGGTCTCACAGGTCTCACAGGTCTTACTGGTCTCACAGGCCTCACTGGTCTCACAGGTCTACTGGTCTCACAGGTCTCACAGGTCTCACTGGTCTTACAGGTCTCACTGGTCTTACAGGCCTCACTGGTCTCACAGGCCTCACTGGTCTCACAGGCCTCACTGGTCTCACTGGTCTCACAGGTCTCACAGGTCTCACTGGTCTTACAGGTCTCACTGGTCTTACAGGCCTCACTGGTCTCACAGGCCTCACTGGTCTCACAGGTCTCACTGGTCTCACAGGTCTCACAGGTCTTACTGGTCTCACAGGTCTCACAGGTCTCACAGGTCTCACTGGTCTTACAGGCCTCACTGGTCTCACAGGTCTTACTGGTCTCACAGGTCTTACTGGTCTCACAGGCCTCACTGGTCTCACAGGCCTCACTGGTCTCACTGGTCTCACAGGCCTCACAGGTCTCACTGGTCTTACAGGTCTCACTTGTGTTACAGGTCTCACTGGTCTTAGGTTACAGGTGTGAGTGTCCCAGGGGGTTCTGGGGGTCTAGAGGACAGAGCCACTGGGTTTGCACTGACCTGCATGTTGACCCCGAAGGTCCAGATGTAGAGAGAGTACACGGGTTTCCGGAGCCAGGTGGGGAGCTCCACCCCATTCAGACGACCCCAGGCCCGAGAGAGGAGGCGAGTCGGGAAGGAGCGGTACAACGCCACCTTCAGCACCAAACAGGAAACTACATGTCAGTCGTTAATATCTGGTTTTCAGAAGGAGGAATTTACAGAAAAACTTTACTTTTGTAGAAAACGAAGGAGGCGGTGAAAGACAGAAGCATAAAAACATGCGTAAAAGTAGAAAAGGAAGAAGAGCAGAAGACAGCAGAGAAAATGGAGTAAGTGAGAGATAAAAGGTGTGCTTCAACTGAGCGCTGTGACTGCCGAGCTTTTCAGAAGGTCCATGAACGCAGCACAGAGCTGCTGTCTCCATCATCAGACGCTGTTTTCTGACCTGCAGTGTCTTTGTTTGTCACGAGTGTGAAGCATGGTGATATTTCTGCTTGATGGTGCCCTGGACAGGCCGTTACCTGCATGTTTAAACACCTGAGACTCAGCGTCCGTAAAGGGATAGCTCAGGATGTTTGCAGTGCGTCTCTGAGGTACTTGTACATGGTCATCGTGTTTCCTGCGACAGATGGCGGTCGCTGTGTCCTCATTTTGGAGAAGCAGAGAGTTGTACTGAAGCTAAGCTACGTGTACTGCTGTGGACACAACCGGAGACCAGCTGGGAGATCAGACTGAAACCAAACTTCACTTTCCTACAGACTTTAAAGATGCGTTCTTGTGTTTGAACAAAGACGATTCATGGTCACCATGGAGATTTCAGCGTGTTCCTCTGAATGATGCTGCTGCTCTGAATCCAGACAATCACTCCATGAAACCCTCTCTGAAGAGGACTAAGGCTGGACTGGAAGCCTTATTTGTCGGTACTGATGTGTCCTAATGCAGTATGCAATAAAAGCAAAATCTGCAGCCTGCATCGAACCAGTCTACCTGTCGTACTGTGTCCCATAATGCAAAGTGCTAGAACAGTAACACTAACGGTATTTTCTTCAACAACAGAACGTTTGTTTACAATTTGAATGTGTTATTTCATCACTAAATCCACTTCAGAGAAGTTTTGAGGCGAGAAATCAGCTGTGTAGATTTGGAATATTGGCACTTTTACGAAAGTTGATGGTAAAATCGAACATGTGGTCCAACACTTTCGAAGTTGAGAAACTCCACAAACGGCAGCAGGGGAAGCTAACGAGCCGGCCGGCCAGTCAGCTATTTACTTATATCAAGACACATCTGGCTCCTGATGGACAGGAAATTCTTGTCTGGTGAAGCACTTAAGCACAAAAAACTAAAAACTAAACTAACATTACGTTGTTAGTGTCAAGTTACAGTACTTTTTATTTGATATAATTCTTATTTATGCGCAAACATTCGCAAGCAAGCTAGCTAGATCGGCTGCAGCCTTGTTCTCCATACACAGGATTACGTTTAAAAAGAGTTTTAGGTGGTTCTTCCTTTTATATTCCACCTATTGACTTCTGATTTCTCAGCCTGGCCTAGCATACTGCAAAACAACATTTAAAAGTTTCATTCTGCATGCTGCAGTAGTATGTCCGCCAGAGAGACCCCTGCTGAAGAGCACTGCTGTCTAAATAAATGAAACCTCACGTTTCCCTTCTGCCTCTTCTGGACGTTAAGTTCTTCTGTACACTCTGGTTTGAAAAGTCTCCCTTTCGTCTTCACAGTGAACAGCACTTTGTCTTCAATGTCTTAGTCACTCATTTAAATGTTCTTTCATTCTCTGTCTCTTCCACAAACCGCTGAAAGTCTGAGGTAAAGAGCTGAGGATATTACACCCAGCTTGCTGCTGTCCACAGCAGTACGCTGCTTTAGCTTCCATGCTAGTACAACTCTCTCCTGGTCCAAACTGCTGTCTACTGCAGGTAATACACTGACTGTGTGTAAGTACCACGTCCCGTTAACAATGAGTGTGCGCTCATCTGAGTTAGAATTGAAGACTTGAAGCCTGATGCTGGACTGGAGGCTCGTGGAGGCCTGATCCAGACGCTTCATGCTGTCTCTCCTGTCACTGTTTCCATCTGTATGAACCCCGTTGTTATTCGTTTAACCAGAAGCCAGTCAGCAGCCGCTCTTACCCGTTTGGCCAGCGGCTGGAGAGCGCTGACGGACAGGATGAAGCAGAGGAAGGCGATTGGCCGACGGCGCCAAGGGGTGGGGCGACACACGCCACCAGTGAGCGTGCTCAGACGGTGACGGAGAGCCAAACGAGGCACCTGGAGCCTGATTATGATAATTAGATTTAGATTAGAGAGTGATGAAGGAAGAGGAAAATTATTCAGAAACCTGAGGCAGGAGAAAGGAGGAGGAGGGAGGCGAAGGGATGGAGAGGTAAAAATTATGGAAACACTAAGAAAATGCATCCAAAACAAAAACAACATAAGATTGATACGTTAGTGGAAAATGAAAACATGACAAATAAATTTAAGAAAAGAAATAAAATTATTAATTTCATAGGCAGAGGACGAAGGGGTTGTTTCCCTCCTGTAATCTGATTGGCTTCAAAGTTTACATAACGTCATTTTTGAAGGACCATACAGTAGTTTTCCTTATCACTGACGATCTTTTAACCTCTCGTGTTAACAGAGCCTTTAAATCTGTGTTTCCTTCTGTCAGCCGCTTTCAGTTCATATTCACATCAAATCAACTCACAGAGACAAACCCAAATGAAAGCCCAACGTCCAGGACAAGAACCCCAGACATCCAGGACAAGAAACCCCAGACGTCCAGAACAAGAAACGAGACGACCAGGACAAGAAACCCCAGACGTCCAGAACAAGAAACGAGACAACCAGGACAAGAAACGAGATGACCAGTGCAAGAAACCCAGACAGGACAAGACATCCAGGAGAACAAGAAACGAGACGGCCAGTGCAAGAAACCCAGACGTCCAGGACAAGAAACCCCAGACGTCCAGAACAAGAAACGAGACGTCCAGAACAAGAAACGAGACGTCCAGAACAAGAAACGAGACGACCAGTGCCAGAAACCCCAGACGTCCAGAACAAGACATGAGATGACCAGTGCAAGAAACCCAGACGTCCAGGACAAGAAACGAGACGACCAGTGCAAGAAACCCAGACGTCCAGGACAAGAAACCCCAGACGTCCAGGACAAGAAACCCCAGACGTCCAGAACAAGAAACGAGACGACCAGTGCCAGAAACCCAGACGTCCAGAACAAGAAACCCCAGACGTCCAGAACAAGAAACGAGACAACCAGGACAAGAAATGAGACGACCAGGACAAGAAACGGGACGACCAGTGCAAGAAACCCACATGTCCAGGACAAGAAACCCCAGACGTCTAGAACAAGACACGAGATGACCAGGACAAGAAACGGGATGACCAGTGCAAGAAACCCAGACGTCCAGAACAAGAAACGAGACGACCAGGACAAGACACCCCAGACGTCCAGGACAAGAAACCCCAGACGTCCAGAACAAGAAACGAGACGACCAGTGCAAGAAACGAGACGACCAGTGCAAGAAACCCACACTCCAGGACAAGAAACCCAGACGTCCAGAACAAGAAACGAGACAACCAGGACAAGAAACCCAGACGAGCAGGACAAGAAACCCAGACGAGCAGGACAAGAAACCCAGACGAGCAGGACAAGAAACCCAGACGAGCAGGACAAGAAACCCAGAGGACCAGTGCAAGAAACAAGACGTCCAGGACAGGAAACCCAGACGTCCAGGACAAGAAAACCAGACGTCCAGGACAAGAAACCCAGACATCCAGGACAAGAAACGAAACGACCAGGACAAGAAACCCAGACGTCCAGGACAGGAAACCCAGACGTCCAGGACAAGAAACCCAGACGTCCAGGACAAGAAACCCAGACATCCAGGACAAGAAACGAGACAACCAGGACAAGAAACGAGACGACCAGTGCAAGAAACCCAGACGTCCAGGACAAGAAACCCCAGACGTCCAGAACAAGACACGAGATGACCAGGACAAGAAACGGGATGACCAATGCAAGAAACCCAGACGTCCAGGACAAGAAATGAGACGACCAGTGCAAGAAACCCAGACGTCCAGGACAAGAAACCCCAGACATCCAGAACAAGAAACGAGACAACCAGGACAAGAAACGAGACGACCAGTGCAAGAAACCCAGACGTCCAGGACAAGAAACCCCAGACGTCCAGAACAAGAAACGAGACGACCAGGTGAAGAAACGAGACGACCAGGACAAGAAACGAGACGACCAGTGCAAGAAACCCACATGTCCAGGACAAGAAACCCCAGACGTCCAGAACAAGACACGAGATGACCAGGACAAGAAACGGATGACCAGTGTAAGAAACCCAGACGTCCAGGACAAGAAATGAGACGACCAGTGCAAGAAACCCAGACGTCCAGGACAAGAAACCCCAGACATCCAGGACAGGAAACCCAGACGTCCAGGACAAGAAACCCCAGACGTCCAGGACAAGAAACCCAGACATCCAGGACAAGAAACGAAACGACCAGGACAAGAAACCCAGACGTCCAGGACAAGAAACCCCAGACGTCCAGAACAAGAAACGAGACGACCAGGTGAAGAAACGAGACGACCAGGACAAGAAACCCACATGTCCAGGACAAGAAACCCCAGACGTCCAGAACAAGACACGAGATGACCAGGACAAGAAACGGGATGACCAATGCAAGAAACCCAGACGTCCAGGACAAGAAATGAGACGACCAGTGCAAGAAACCCAGACGTCCAGGACAAGAAACCCCAGACATCCAGAACAAGAAACGAGACAACCAGGACAAGAAACGAGACGACCAGTGCAAGAAACCCAGACGTCCAGGACAAGAAACCCCAGACGTCCAGAACAAGAAACGAGACGACCAGGTGAAGAAACGAGACGACCAGGACAAGAAACGGGACGACCAGTGCAAGAAACCCACATGTCCAGGACAAGAAACCCCAGACGTCCAGAACAAGACACGAGATGACCAGGACAAGAAACCCCAGACGACCAGGACAAGAAACCCCAGACGTCCAGGACAAGAAACCTCAGACATCCAGGACAAGAAACCCCAGATGTCCAGGACAAGAAACGAGACGACCAGTGCAAGAAACCCACACGTCAGGACAAGAAACCCCAGACGTCCAGAACAAGAAACGAGACGACCAGGACAAGAAACCCAGACGAGCAGGACAAGAAACGAGACGTCCAGAACAAGAAACGAGACGACCAGGACAAAAAACCCAGACGTCCAGGACAAGAAACCCAGACGTCCAGGACAGGAAACCCAGACGTCCAGGACAAGAAAACCAGACGTCCAGGACAAGAAACCCAGACATCCAGGACAAGAAACGAAACGACCAGGACAAGAAACCCAGACGTCCAGGACAAGAAACCCCAGACGTCCAGAACAAGAAACGAGACGACCAGGTGAAGAAACGAGACGACCAGGACAAGAAACGGGACGACCAGGACAAGAAACGAGACGACCAGTGCAAGAAACCCACATGTCCAGGACAAGAAACCCCAGACGTCCAGAACAAGACACGAGATGACCAGGACAAGAAACGGGATGACCAGTGCAAGAAACCCAGACGTCCAGGACAAGAAACGAGACGACCAGTGCAAGAAACCCAGACGTCCAGGACAAGAAACCCCAGACATCCAGGACAAGAAACCCCAGACGTCCAGAACAAGAAACGGGATGACCAGTGCAAGAAACCCAGACGTCCAGGACAAGAAACCCAGACGTCCAGGACAAGAAACCCCAGACGTCCAGGACAAGAAACCCCAGACGTCCAGAACAAGAAACGAGACGACCAGTGCAAGAAATGAGACGACCAGTGCAAGAAACCCAGACGTCCAGGACAAGAAACCCCAGACGTCCAGAACAAGAAACGAGACGACCAGGACAAGAAACGAGATGACCAGTGCAAGAAACCCACATGTCCAGGACAAGAAACCCCAGACGTCCAGAACAAGAAACCCCAGACGTCCAGGACAAGAAACCCCAGACGTCCAACAAGAAACGAGACGACCAGTGCAAGAACGAGACGACCAGTGCAAGAAACCCACACGTCAGGACAAGAAACCCCAGACGTCCAGAACAAGAAACGAGACAACCAGGACAAGAAACCCAGACGAGCAGGACAAGAAACGAGACGACCAGTGCAAGAAACGAGACGTCCAGGACAAGAAACCCAGACGTCCAGGACAGGAAACCCAGACGTCCAGGACAAGAAACCCAGACGTCCAGGACAGGAAACCCAGACGTCCAGGACAAGAAACCCCAGACGTCCAGGACAAGAAACCCAGACGTCCAGGACAAGAAACGAAACGACCAGGACAAGAAACCCAGACGTCCAGGACAAGAAACCCCAGACGTCCAGAACAAGAAACGAGACGACCAGGTGAAGAAACGAGACGACCAGGACAAGAAACGGGACGACCAGTGCAAGAAACCCACATGTCCAGGACAAGAAACCCCAGACGTCCAGAACAAGACACGAGATGACCAGGACAAGAAACGGGATGACCAGTGCAAGAAACCCAGACGTCCAGGACAAGAAACGAGACGACCAGTGCAAGAAACCCAGACGTCCAGGACAAGAAACCCCAGACATCCAGGACAAGAAACCCCAGACGTCCAGAACAAGAAACGAGACGACCAGGACAAGAAACGGGATGACCAGTGCAAGAAACCCAGACGTCCAGGACAAGAAACCCCAGACGTCCAGGACAAGAAACCCCAGACGTCCAGAACAAGAAACGAGACGACCAGTGCAAGAAATGAGACGACCAGTGCAAGAAACCCAGACGTCCAGGACAAGAAACCCCAGACGTCCAGAACAAGAAACGAGACGACCAGGTGAAGAAACGAGACGACCAGGACAAGAAACGAGATGACCAGTGCAAGAAACCCACATGTCCAGGACAAGAAACCCCAGACGTCCAGAACAAGACACGAGATGACCAGTGCAAGAAACCCAGACGTCCAGGACAAGAAACCCCAGACGTCCAGGACAAGAAACCCCAGACGTCCAGGACAAGAAACCCCAGACGTCCAGAACAAGAAACGAGACGACCAGTGCAAGAAACGAGACGACCAGTGCAAGAAACGAGACGTCCAGGACAAGAAACCCAGACGTCCAGAACAAGAAACGAGACGACCAGTGCAAGAAATGAGACGACCAGTGCAAGAAACCCAGACGTCCAGGACAAGAAACCCCAGACGTCCAGGACAAGAAACCCCAGACGTCCAGGACAAGAAACCCCAGACGTCCAGAACAAGAAACGAGACGACCAGGTGAAGAAACGGGATGACCAGTGCAAGAAACCCAGACGTCCAGGACAAGAAACGAGACGACCAGTGCAAGAAACGAGACGACCAGTGCAAGAAACCCACACGTCAGGACAAGAAACCCCAGACGTCCAGAACAAGAAACGAGACAACCAGGACAAGAAACCCAGACGAGCAGGACAAGAAACGAGACGACCAGTGCAAGAAACGAGACGTCCAGGACAAGAAACCCAGACGTCCAGGACAAGAAACCCAGACGTCCAGGACAAGAAACCCAGACGTCCAGGACAGGAAACCCAGACGTCCAGGACAAGAAACCCAGACGTCCAGGACAAGAAACCCCAGACGTCCAGAACAAGACACGAGATGACCAGTGCAAGAAACCCAGACGTCCAGGACAAGAAACCCCAGACGTCCAGGACAAGAAACCCCAGACGTCCAGGACAAGAAACCCAGACATCCAGG